AGGTACTACCTTTGCTCTTTTAGCATCCTCTAGTCTACAGGAATAAATTATTGACACAGGAGCCACAAATCATATGGTGTCAGATATCAATCTATTAACCAAAATCTCCCTAACTGCACCTCTAATCCTAGAAAAGTTTTATTGCCTAATGTAGATGTCACTCAAGTAACTCATATTGGAGATAGTCATATTTCAAACAACAATATCATTAAAGAAGTTTTTTATGTGCCCCAATTCTGTCACGACTGTAAACCCAGACCCGATCGTGATGGCGCCTCTCGTGAAGATAAGGCCAGCCGACACATTTCCAATCCAGTTTTTAAGCAATTAAACAATAAGCATTACGTCTAAAACATGATATAAACTCAGAAGCAACAATGACAGTACAAAATAATTCGCGGAATACAACCCAACTCAGCCCGATACCGGGGTGTCACTAGTCATGAGCATCTACTAAGTCTAAATACAACTAACAAAGTCATGAAATGTACTCAGTACAGTCTAATAGAAATGAAGAGAGAGAAAGCAGTGCTGCGAACGCCGGCAGCTACCTTGCTAAACTCCGACAGCTCTGCCTCCGATCAATCAATACCCGCTACTGGGTCCAGAAAATACCTGAATCTGCACACAAGGTGCAGGGAGTAAAGTGAGTACTCCAACTCAGTGAGTAATAATCATAACTAAAGTCTGAATGGCAAGAAATCACGAAAAGTGCATCAACATGTTGTATAGAAACAGTTCAAAAACCAGTAATAAAGCAATGAAGCTGTAAAATCCCTTAAAACATTTTAACTCAGTTTAAACTTCTTTGAAAATGACTTTTTCAACGGCTGCGCAAATGAATGCAGAACAACTAGTGCAGATAAGCACAGAAATCCGCCCCTCGGGCACAAATACACAATTTAACAGGCAATTGACAGGCAAATAAGAAAGATAAGCACATAAGGTTCGCCCCTCGGGCACAATATTAACAAATCCGCCCCCTAGGGCAATATCTCAAAGCACTACCAGCCCCCTCGGGCAATCACATAGAACCATACCAGCCCCTCGGGCTATATCTCACATCACAATGGGTACCCACGCTCACTGGGGGTGTGCAGACTCCTGGAGGGGCCCCTTACGGCCCAAGCGCAATAACAAGCCATCTCGTGGCATCAAATCTAGGCCCTCGGCCTCATATCAATCAAGCCACCTCGTGGCGTACATATCTCAGGCCCTCGGCCTCAAATCAGTATCAGTGTATCACCGCTGCGGCGTGCAGCCCGACCCAAAAGATATCCTCACAACACAGGCCCTCGGCCTTACTCAGTCAAAAATCACATAAGCCTCTCGGGCAACAGTAAAATAGTGTTTCTCAGCCCAAAACATCATTTAAATATCATTTGAGTATTAAAACTGAGTGAACATGGCTGAGTTTTGAAAACAGTGGAAAATAACATGACTGAGTTCAAGTATAAAGTCAAAACAGTGAGGAAATATCAAATAAAAGCCCCGAAGGGTTCAAATAGTTGGCACGAAGCCCAAATATGGCATTCCGCCCAAATCATAATGATAGCAAATAAGTTTCAGTCAAATACGCGGTAAAATCATCAACCGGGACGGACCAAGTCACAATCCCCAATAGTGCACGACCCCACGCTCGTCATCAAGCGTGTGCCTCACCTCAATATAGCACTACGATGTGCAATCCGGGGTTTCAAACCCTCAGAACATCATTTACAATCATTACTCACCCCGAACCGGCTAAATCTCTAGCTCGCGACGCGCCCCTCAAATTGGCCCCCATACGCGTCGAATCTATACAAAATCAGAACAAGGACGTCAAAATATGCCAAGGGAACAAAGCCCAAGCGAAAACAATCAATAAAGGGTACAAATCCCGAAATTACCAAAACCCAACCCCCGGGCCCACGTCTCGAAATTCAGAATTTTTCACACCAACGGATTCCTTATCTCCCCACGAGTTCATACATATCAAGAATACTAAAATCAGAGTCCAAATGACCCCTCAAATACCCATTTAAAGGCCTCTTAAACTCAAGCCCTAATCCTCCATTTTTGCCCTTTAATTCCTTTAATTACAGCCCTAAAGCCGAAGTAAAAAATGGTGGAATAGCTCAAACTCACGTAATGAATAACTTATATGTTCTGCCAGGCATTTTCGCATCTGCGACTCTCCAACCGCTTTTGCGGTACCGCATTTGCGGTCATACCACCGCTTCTGCGGAAATTACTTAACCAGCCAAAACCGCTCCTGTGATCATCCCTCCGCATCTGCGATGCCGCAGATGCGGTCAAACACACCGCTTTTGCGGTCCCTGACTCCCTCAGCCTATCCGCTTCTGCGACCTCCCTCAACGCACCTGCGACACCGCACCTGCGGTCCCCCAACCGCAGGTGCGAAAACACCAGAAGCAGCAAACTTCAGCAGCTGCAATAACCTTCCAACTTCTTCGTTAACCATCCGAAATCACCCTGAGGCCCCTGAGACCTCGTCCAAAAGCACAAACATAACCCAATACCTTATTCAAACTTGTTCCAATCTTCGAAACACCTCAAACAACATCGAATCATCCAAAACACATCCGATTCAAGCCAAACTTTCAAAAATCTTCCGAATTCCGCTTTTGATAAAAAACCCAACCAAACCACGTCCGAATAACCTGAAATTTTGCATACGCATCCCAAATGACACAACGAGGCTACTCCCACTCTCGGAATTCCATTCCGACCCTCATATCCAAATCTCGCCTACGAACCGGAAATCGCCAAAATCTCAATTTCGCCAATTCAAGCCTAAACCTTCCACGGACTTCCAAAAATGCATTCCGATCACGCTCCCAAGTCCCAAATCACCTAACGGAGCTAACCAAATCATAAAAATTCCGATCCGAGATCATATACAAGCAAGTCAAATCTTAGTCAAACCTTTCAAATCTGAAGCTTCAAACTGAGAACTGTTCTTCCAAGTTCATTCCGATTACCCTGAAAATCAAAACCAACGGTTTACATAAGTCTTAATACATCATACGGGGAAAGTCATGCCCGAGAACTGACGGGCAAAGTGCCAAATGCTCAAAACGGCCGGTCGGGTCGTTACAAATTCAAATTCAACTTGTTGTTAGTTTACAAAGTGACAAGAGACCTAAGATGTTTTACTTCCTTTTATCCTAATTTTTGTGTATTTCAGGATCTAGGTTGGTAGGGAGAGAGATGGACTATATTTTATGCAAAACCATGGTTCCAAGAAGCTCACCGCAATCTCTTTGGTTGTTGCTGGAATAAAGTCAAGCAGACATAACTCTACCATTGATGTTAGTTTGTGGCATAAAAGATTAGGACATGTGTCTAGTATAGTCCTTAAGAAGTTATTTCCTGCCAAACTAGCAAATATTACTGATACCATAAATAAATGTTGTGTATGTCCATGTGCCAAGAAGACCAAATTACCATTTCCTACTAGCTGTATTAAAAGTACTGCTGCCTTTGATCTAATTCATGTAGATGTTGGGGGTCCTTACAAATATGCAACCTTTGATGGTAAAAGATACTTTCTAACAGTTGTTGATGACTTTACCAGAATGACTTGGTTGTTTCTCTTAAAACTAAAGTCTGATGTGTGTGTGATCCTTACTCAGTTCATTATTTTTGTTCAAACTCAATTCAACAAAATTCTGAAAGTAGTCAGGTCTGACAATGGATTTGAGTTTGTAAATTCTATTTGTCATGTATTGTTTCAGAAGTATGGTATTATTCATCAGAAGGCTTGTGCATATACCCCTCAGCAAAATAGAGTTGCTGAGAGGAAACACAAACATATTTTGGAGGTAACTAGAGCCTTGAGGTTTCAAGCTCATATTCCCATTAAATACTGAGGTCACTGTGTTCTTTCAGCAGTTTACATCATCAACATAATGCCATCTTCTGTTCTTAATGGCTTGTCTCCCTTTGAGTTGCTATATGGTCAAGAACCTACTCTAGAGCATCTCAGAGTTCTTGGATGCCTGAGTTATGCCAAGAAAGTTCAAGAAATAGATAAGCTCCTTCCCAGATCTAAACCTACTGTTCTTATGGGCTTCTCTGATACTCAAAAGGGCTATGTGCCACTGGATCTTGCCACTAACTGCTTCCTCATCAACAGGGATGTCTCTTTTAGGGAGGATATCTTCCCTTTTAAAGAGTCTCAATCCTCACCTCCACCTGTGTTCTTGTCTTCTAATTCTCCTGCTTATGGTGAAGACTACATCTCAGCTCCATATGAGATTAGTAACTCAGGGCAGACACCTTCTCCTTCCATTTCTATTAGCTCCAGACCTGAGGATAATAACTCAAGGCAGGAGCCTCCATTGTAGCTTTCTAGTGCTTCTGAAGGGGTGTCATCTTCCGTTCCCTCTCTTGATCAGAACTCCACTATCCTGAGAAGATCCCTGAGGACCAAACAGGCTCCTATCTGGTTGAAGGACTTTGTGAAACTTCCAAGTCACAAATCTGTTCCGTATTCTATTGCCAACTACATCTCCTATGATGGTCTTTCTCCCAAGTACCAATGTTATCTAGCTGCCTTCTTCTCTATAGTAGAACCTACTACATTTGAAAAAGTTGTCAAGGATCCCATATGGGTAGATGAAATGCAAGCTGTAATTGCTGCTTTAGAATCAAACCATACTTGGGATGTGGTATCTTTGCCTGATGACAAGGTACCTATTAGCTGCAAGTAGATCTACAAAGTAAATACAAAGCCACATGGGAGGTAGAGAGGTTCAAAGCTAGGCTTGTGGCCAAGGGGTATAGCCAACAAGAGGGCATTGACTACCAGTGGTCAAAATGGTTACTGTAAGGACAATTCTGGTTGTTGCTGCTTCTGAACATTGGCACATCCATCAAATGGATATGTGCAATGCCTTTCTGTAGGGACATCTACATGATGAGATCTATATAACTCTACCTCAAGGGTTTTAGAGTTAGGGGGAGAGCAGACCAGCATGCAGACTTCCGAAATCATGTATGGACTTAAACAGGCACCAAGACAGTGGAATGCCAAACTTTCTGAAGCACTACTGAAGTTTGGTTTCATGCAGAGTCAACATGACCACTCATTGTTCATAAACGAAACATGCAAAAACACTATAGTCATTTTGGTGTATGTGGATGACATGCTCCTCACTGGTCCTGATCTGATACTATTAAAAGAGGTCAAAGCTAAACTGCAGCAGGATTTTAAGATGAAAGATCTAGGCGAACTGAAATACTTCCTTTGCATTAAGTTTGCCAGGTCACAGCAAGTCATTCTAATGCACCAAAAGAAGTACACATTGGAATTGATCTATGAACTTGGGCTGGGAGCTGCAAAAACAGCTGTCACACCTATTGAAGCCAACATTAAGCTAACCACAAAGGAGTATGATGAACATACTGGCATTCACAACACAACAGATAATGAATTGTTGCCAGTTGCTAGAAAGTATCAAAGACTACTAGGCAAACTACTCTACCTGACTGTCACAAGACCATACATAGCTTTTAGTGTTCAGACACTAAGTCAGTTTATGCAAAAATCCAAAAGATCTCATATTGAAGTTGCACAAAGGGTAATCAGATATGTGAAGAATCAGCCTGGACAAGGCATACTTTTGTCTACCAAGAAAAAGAACATTATTACAACTTATTGTGATGCTGACTGGGCAGCTTGCCCTCTCACTAGAAAATCAGTAACTGGCTTCTTCATTATGTGTGGTGACTCACTAGTGTCAGGGAAGTCAAAAAAGCAGAGCACTATCTCTAGGATTTCTGCAGAATCAGAATACAAAAGCATTGCATCAACTCTGGCAGAGTTAGTTTGGATACTTGGATTGTTTAAAGATATTGAAGTGTCAATTGCTCTTCCTGTGAACATCCACACTGATAGCAAGGCAGCGATTCAAATAGTTGCTAATCTAGTGTTCCATGAGCGTACCAAACACATTGAGATAGATTGTCATTTCGTAAGGAAAAAGATACAAATGGCTGGTGAAGACATAGTATGTGGCCACTAAGGAACAACTTGTAGACATTCTAACGAAAGGCTTAACCAAAGTACAACATGAATATTTGATGTCCAAGCTAGGTGCCCTTATTGTTTTCATATCACCTAGCTTGAAGGGGAGTCTTGAGGAAAGAGGAGTGTTTGAGCATGAGGGTAGTTTAGTCTATTCATGTATACCCGAATTAGTTAGTCTGTTAGTGGTTAATGATGAGAGCGATTGGTTAGTTAGTTAGTTACATTAGTACTAAGCTACTTGTATATATACATCAATGTAAAGACCGAAACAAATAGAATGAAAGTTTCACTGTTTCATTCATTTCCTCTCTTCCTTTCTTCTTCTCTCTTCTCCCTCCCAGCTAGGATTTTCTGCTGCGTTCGATCTCTGAACTTCAGCACACAGGAGCGCTTCTTCTTTAATAAGCCTTACATGATGCGAAACTGAATTAATCGAATAACTGAATTACGATCGAGTGCTATATAAGAAAATGTTCGCATCGCATTAAGTGTTCAAAGCTCTACTTTTCGTCTCGATTTAAATATCTATATTAAGCTATTTTATTATTTCTAAGAAAAATACATTTGGCATTTAGTATTAAGTAGTGAAATATCTAGTTTCTTAAAATAAAGTACCTCCGTCACTATCCGAAAAGAATGATGACAATGAAAAAGTCCTCCTAGGAGCGCTTCTTCTTTAATAAGTACGCGGTGTGAAACTGAATTAATTAATAAGTGAATTTCTATTGAGTGGTTATATGAAAAAAATGTATCGCTATATGCTAGTGTTCAAAGCTCTATTTTTGTCTCGAATTAAATATTTATATTAAGTTATTTTATTATTTTTAAGAAAAAATATAATATTAAGTAGTGAAATATCTAGTATCTTGAAATAAAGTACCTCCGCCACTGTCCGGAAAGTATGATGAAGAAAACAATATAAATGCGACAGCAAATCACCGTCTTTCAACTAAATTTTGAATCCGCTCCAAAAAGCATTTTATTTTAAATTATGGTTCCTGGTCTAAATATAAAATATAATATGTTGTTCTTTATACTAGGAGTAGTTTCTAAGTCGATTATATTATGGTTATTCAAAAAGTAAGTCCTAGGAGTAGGGACCTAAACTTTTGTTCAATTTGTTTATTTAAGAAGGAAAAAAAAAAAGAGTAAAGATAAATGCAACTATTAATTAAATGTACGATTCCTTAGTCATCTGGAAAGAAAACTATTGAATAAAGATCTACAAATGATAACTCGGCACAAACAGTAAACCTTTTACTAAGATGCGATCACTAGCAAATAGTGTGGATTTCTAAAGCTTTTCTATATATTAATAAACACTGCTTTTTCTTCACGGCAAGAACTTTAAAAAAAAAAAAGATAAAGAAATTGCCACATTTTTTATGTGCAAAATTGGGCAAGTGTTTGGAGTTTGTCAGTCCAACAAAATATAGAGATTACTTTTCTACATAAAAAAAGATTGGTCTAAGTGCGAGCTAATTACCATTATGAATTCTTTAAAATGTTGATTAATATATAATTAAAATAATTAAGGGTATGAAACTACGAATCCATTTCACATAACCTACGGACTAAAACAAAAGGTTAAAGTATGGGTTTCAACCACAAGTTAAAAAAGTTTCAACTTGTCTTTGACTAAATCACTAGTAGCCTGCTGCCCTACCAAACAACCATCTTAAGCTTATTGACGGCCTAAAAAACAAACATATTTTATTTGCACCCAAAATATGAGCCTAAGTTTGGTTTACAACAACAACAACCACCCAGTAGAATTCCACTCGTGGAGTCTGGAGAAGGTAGAATGTACGCAGACCTTACCTCTACCCCGAAGGGATAGAGAGGCTGTTTCCGGGAGACCCTCGACTCAGAAACAATTAGGTCCGTAACCACAACAGAAACCAGGAAAATAGTATCAGCATCGTAAAATACAACAAATAAATGGAAAGGCCAAGATGTGAAATACAACAAAAATAAAAATCACTACCAGACTAATAAAATAATAAAATAAAAATTATGGAACACAACAAAAATCGCTAGCATTCCTAGACAAAACACTATCAGACTAGCCGGTGCAACGAGGAGAAACACTCGACTACCCTCTAACCTACAACCCTAATGCTCGACCTCCGCACCTTCCTATCAAAGGCCATGTCCTCGGAAATTTGAAGATGCGCCATGTCCTGCCTGATAACCTCGCCCCAGTACTTCTTAGGCCGCCCTCTACCTCTTCTCGTAATTGCCAGAACCAAACACTCACACCTCCTGACCTGAGCATCTGGGCTCCTCCTCCGCACGTGCCCCAACCACCTAAGCCTCGCTTCACGGATCTTGTCATCCACGAGAGCCACGCCCACCCTCTCCCGAATAACCTCATTCCTAATCTTATCTATCCGAGTGTGCCGGCACATCCATCTCAACATTCTCATTTCTGCTACTTTCATCTAAGCCTAAGTTTGGTTTAATCGATTAAAAGTAGCTGATATAAGTGTTAGAAATAAATTTTATAAATAAATAGTTATATGCTTTGATAGATGTGCTAAACAATGAACATGTGATGTGTATCTTAAATAATTGGTAGGTTCATATTTTCTTATTAAAATAATTAAAATGCCCTTAGAAATCTATTTACAGGAGCAGGACGAGTGACGAAAATAAAATGGAAAGCGAGTTAAGTGTTTTATTTTGGGAAGAATTTTTTAAGAATTACTAAAGATATTAGTATTAAAATAATAAAATTTTGAATAAATCAAAAGTGCTTATAAACTAACCATAATGGCTAGGCTAATTTTGGCTATACTCCTTATTCTTCTTCTTTTTTACACAGACAAAAATGATAGTGGATGCACATACAAGATTATGGAATATTGCTTCTTCTTTACTATCTCATATTTAACTTGTAACTATTTTTCAACTACTTTATAGATATTAATTATATTGTAAACAATAGCTCTAAAAGTGGCCATCGGATATTATTTTTACTTTTGCAACGCACAATATTGAGTTCTAGGTCCAATCATCACAAAAACATATTGATATTAATTCTTTCAAAATTCATCCGAACATTCATTAAAAAAACAAAAACATAAAATAAAATTTTTTCTTGTACGAAGCCACCTTAAGTTGATAAGTTTGATTTGGGGTACAAGGATAGCTCAAGTGAAGTTCAAGTATGATAGAATCTAGGAACGGGACCGTGATGGAATGGATGAAATTCTTTCACTTTTAATAAGCGGTTTAGGTTTCGAGCTCGAGTTTTGAAAATGAAGAAACTCCTTGAACATACGATAAGAAGGGGAGCCTTGGCGTAACTGGTAAAGTTGATACCATGTGACCAGGAGGTCACGGGTTCAAGCCGTGGAAATAGCCTCTTGCAGAAATGCAAGTTAAGACTATGTACAATAGACCCTTGCGTATAACGAGAGCTTAGTGCACCGAACTGTCTTTTTTAATCGTATACGAACAAAATTTGAGATAGTCGGATCAATAAATTTTGAATATCGGAAGATAAATTAGACAAAAAAAACAGATCTATATGTGGTTGGGTAGATATGTTGGGATCAGGTGGGCTATTTAGCTTAGTAAAGAAATGGGTTGAAGGGTCATGGTTTCCACTTAAGCTTTGTGCAACATGATAAGTTTGACATTTTCTCCTTATCCTTTTAGGTTTGTGATAGAAAGGTATTATGATGTGAAATTTTGTAAGCTTCTTTTGCAGTATCACTTTGGCAACTGGAGCCAATTTGAGGCATTTTTCATATTATACTTTACTATGTGAATGGGTTGGTAATCATCTCTAAGATTAGACGCATTACGTTTTATTTATATGGCATTTCTCCTATTTGTTAGGCCAGCTTACCTTTTGTTTTTCTTTTCTTTCTTTATATGGGGCCCTTGGGTTAGGTTAATAATCATCTGAGTTATTGATTGGATTACAGAAAAAAAGTTTAATATTTAAGGGGGGGGGGGGGGGGGGGGGGTCGGTTGTAAGTGAGTATATCGTTTTGTAGTTTGTTAGTTTCTTATT